TTTTTTTTTTTTTTTTTTTTTTTTTTTTTTTCAAAACAGTCGAACACTTGACTAAGGCCGAGACAACAGCTTATATTGTTGTCTGCCATTTAAGCTCAATCTATAATTTTACGTGTTTTTTTCAGTTTTTTCTTTGAGGAAAAGTGGGGTAAACAACAGCTATTTGCCTTTTTCACAGTATCGACATCTGAATTATAATATGGCAGAGCCGGAGAGGCGAAGAGAAAGAAAGGAAGTTAGAGAGAGAGATAGAGAGAGCGAGCCATTTTGAAGATAACAAGCACCGTTTGATGGAATCGAGAAAGCAAGGAAAAAGAGATATTGAAGTATAGATAATAAATGGACTTGTCTGGGTTCGTTCCACTTCTACAATGTCGTGAAGGGAGTTTGCCAAAAACTGCAAAATTTTCCTGACCAACAGTAGTTGTAAGTTGTGTTGAGCAGTGCCTTTTTTATTTTTATTTCTTTTAATGTGTTTAATTCATCATCTAGGTTACACATCAAAACGTTTTGCATTTACAGATGAATTACGTGCCGTTTAACAAAACAAAACCGTCTAATTCAGCTGCTTTCACCTTGGATTGGAAGCCTGATCTCAGTGGTGACGGCGACACTGATGATGACGGCGATAATATCTGATTGTGGGTAAAAAAAACTTTAGCAACAATTCAGTTACTCTTTATTTTAGCTATCCACTTCAACAAACTTTGTTTTTTCTTGTCATTCTCATTCTTCTTTCCTTTTTTTTTTCTCTGTTTGTTGATTTTAAGATGAGAAGGAATCGTCAAATGTTGAAAATTAGTTTTTCCTTGTCTTTTTTCAGAATGCGTTGAGTTTAAAAATCATTATTTTTGTTGTCGCTGTCTTTATTGTTGTTGTGGATGCTATTATCTTTAAATGTTGCTGTCCTGTTCTGTTACTTTTTTAACTTTTTTTTTTTTTCCTGTATTTACATAAGAATTTTCTGGCAGTATCTGCTAGGAACAAAGATGCATGGCAAAAGTATTTTTTTTTTTTTTGCTAAATATATCAGAATTTGTTAGCAGATATTCCGCATATTAACTTTGTCTACTATTAGCCGTTACTTTCATTTTGAACTATTTATTTATTTATTTTTTAATTGTTAGTTAAAAGTGCAGTTGTAATTTGCAACAAATCTTGATGCCAGTTAATATGGGATTGATGTTAGCAGTAAGAAAAAAGCTAGAAAATATATTTTTTGATTTCCGACATTTGAAGTTGTTGAAGGATTAGCTATACGACTCATTTTTTTCAGAAGTAGTTTTTCTGAATTAATTTTGTAATTCTGAGTCATAGCTTAGCGTGAAATTCAGAAAACTGGTTAAACAATGCTGAACAAGTTTAACGATGATCTATTACCACATCAAGAACATTATCAGTTTGTTTTTAACTGCAAGTTACATAGTGTGATTGTTTATTCGGAAGGACTTTTATGCCAGTAATATAGATCAGCAGTTGCCTTGAGGAAGAAAAATATTACCTATGTTTTGTAGCCGGCTAATGTGAAAATATTTGAAAGAAAACTAGATTGAAGAGAACTGAATCTGATAGGTGAAGTTTTTTTTTTTGGAATGTAACGACAGTTTAGTCCTGATTTTAACAATAACATTAGTTGTTTGTTTTTGGACTGTTAGATTATGTGAATAAATAGGCGCAATTTCAAGGTGTGTTCTGTGGTAAATTTCATGTGGAGAAGATACTGAGTTGTAAATGCGTCACAAATTTTTTTGTAAATTAGAATTTCGTCATTCTTTGGGCAATAAAACAATTTGTTGACACAGGTGCGAGTAATTTTAAAAACCTTGAAGCTCGTGGCTAATGGTCACAGATCTACTTGTCCGAACTGGGTTAGGAGGTTTTTGACATCTAGTCGGAGGACGATCTATGTTCTCTCTGCATCATTTCCGGAAATTTGACAAATGTGGGTACGCAGTAAAGGGAGAAGAAGTTTTTAAAGGCGAAATTTGTATGTGGTAGGGAAGTGGTTTTTGTAAGGAAATGGCGCTGATGACTCAGATTACGTTGGAATTTCTCAGATGGTTTGAATGTTCCTTTTAAATTTTGGAAGTAATTACCGCGTTAGTAGTATTCGACTACTAGGTAGATTGTCTTGAAGTGATATGCAGGGAAGTGCAGCACACCTGTAGTAGATGAATTTTTTGCTTTTTTTTCATGACAATGTGCTAAAATTAGTTTTGGGAACTTCAGTATTCTCTAATTACTCGGCGAGGAACTACTACATAAAAGTAGTGGTCGAACATGATGCGTTGGTAGTTTACGCCTATAATATGTTTCTGGGGTAAATTCACACGTACTATAAATTTTGTGGTACCTTTATTTTCTTAATATTATAATTTGGGAAGTCTTGACGTATCGCAAATTTAGTGGTAATTGAGATTAATTTTTTGCAAATTCAGCATCATTTTAGTGACAAGGATGGCTTAAATGTTGGTATAATTAAATCTGATCGAATGGTGAGAGGGTTCTTTTGACTGACATTGGAGAAGAAGCGTAATTTGAAAATTGATTGTACCCTGCGAAGAAAAGTGCTCCGAAATCCTATGGTTCTCACCGCGCAAAATCAGTGGGAACCTAAAAAAAGATTTTTTTTTGCATATTACATCTTTTTTTCCTTTCAGCAGTTTACACTTTCATTTTCTGCAACTTTCGTATAGTTTCTTCTGATTGAGCAACAGTGAGTATAACTAGCGTTGTTGTTTCATTCGAACAAACCGTAGCGGCTAATATCATAAACAGCATTACTTTTGTGTTAGTCAGGTTTATTCTGCTGTCTAAACACTTTTAAATTTACGTGTCATTTGGATATACAGATCCTCTTGCATCCATTTCTTTCGCTTACACTTTCAGGTCAATACCAACATTTCTGTCACGGCTCGCTTGAAGTAGTATATTAAAGACTTCAAATTATTTTTTTTGCATTCCCTCATTTCAGGATTTAACATTTCACTGGGATTTACCAGATAAAGTACAGGGTATGAAAAATAGAATAATGGAAGGATGGCCAGTGCATTTATGGTGTTCAGAATTCAGTGGATTTGTCGGTACTTAAGAGATCAGTTAAAATTGGACCTGTAAAAGACGAATCGCATTCTCGCATTCCTACAGGCTCAGACTGACTACTTCTGGCATTAGTTCACTTATGACTGACTGTTAACATTGCGAATGAAAAGGCATTAGAATTTTAAGGCATTGTTGCAAAGTTGTTTTACAGTGCCTTGGTAGACAACAGAAGTATTACATTGTTTTGGGGCCCGAAAATATCTTTAGGAAAGCTGGAAACGGAAATTAGTTGGTTTGATAGGGATCTTATGGGTGAACAGGGATGGGATTCCGGATGTAAGAATGTTTCCAAAAGTGATTTTCCGGAAATACGTAAATGTGAACACGGGAAATCAGAAGTGTGAGATTTCACATAAATAATATGTTTATCAACTTTTATGAGGTTTGCTATGATACGATATGGACGAAGTACGCATCGAATGAAACTTGAATTTATGACTTTTAATGTGTGCCACGGTTGTGGCAACTCGATTACCTGACGAATGAGTTCGAAAAGAAGATAGCAGAAAGTCGTTTAATCACAGCTAGCACAAAAATGCAAATTTTGATAAAGTAACAGTAAAAAATCCTGTTTTCTTCAAGTTTGTTCCAGTTTTTCGCTGCACTCTTCAGATTTCTGAGTTTTTGCGTGAATAATAGAAACTAAACACGAGAGTCAGTCCAAGTTGCGACAGTGTAAGCGTTCCGAAGTTAAAATTAGATAGTTGACATGCAGTATACAGCACGTTACCCAACTTCTGTCAACTGCGCATTAAAATGAAATGGATAACGATGTTGATGCGAGGACATTGTGAATGCTTATGAAGAGTTCCTACTCTAGAAAAATAACCATGTCAAACTTACGGCAGATGCTAGAAACAAACTTTCGTTTACTTTATATTAGTTTCCATGAAGTTTAACCTGTATATAACTACTGCATGTGTGACCGGTAGGATCGACTTCTTATTCTTAACTCGTCAATTCGTGGAACTAATATTAACAATTCAAGTCATTGACTGTCAAGCCGTACTTCCTAGTGTAGTTTCTTCTTAAAATATGGTAATTTTGTAGCATTATAATAAAGTACTCTTGCAAGACTAGCAGGAATTCAAATGGATTCAGACTACTCTCACTCTGCACAGACAGTTGTCAGAATACGTGTAGTAGCAGTGCACATGTATCTAACGCGAAATATTTCAATTGGTCAACTGTAAGTTAGTAAAAGCCAGAAAACTAACTTTTTATATGACTAACGAATTCAAAAAAAATTTGTAAATGCCACAAATCTGATTGCTTTCGTGGAATCTTTTATGAGCGGAAACCTAGAAGCTTTACTTATATCTTTACAGCGCTTTCCGCTCACTACTGATGTTGTATTGCCGTGCATAAGTTAACGAACGATCCTAGAAAAATTTAATGAAACTGGAAATAACATGCAAAATGGAACCACTCAAATCAGACTTAGTTACTCAAGTTCTAAAAAGTGACGGTCCCAAGAAGCAGTGTGAGTGCATGAAGTGAGGGTGAGGCTATTTACAGCGACTAAGAAAAGCAGAAATTTCGTTGCCTAAAAATAAAATTCTAGAATAAATAAACTTTCTTAATAAGAACAGAATTATTGTACTAAAGAGACTGGAAAATGATTACATTTTTTAAAATGTATGACATCTGTCAAATACAAGTGATCAGAAATATTCTACACGTGACTTCATTCAAATAATTTAAATCATTTTTTTTAGTCTTTTATCACAAAACTACAATTTGAAATTACAGCAAACTTCGATGAATAAATAAACATCTCGACTCAAACATGCTTTTACGTTAGGCTAAAAAACCAGAATAGAATTAAATCCTAAAAGGGAACTCTTCTTTTATAAATAACAAATAGGCTACGACGTAAAACTGATGAGGATATCAAGCGCAGTAAAATTCGGTGACTTTTAGACTAGTTCCTAATCGCACTTACTACCAGCTACAATGTAAGTGTTCTAGAAAGAAAAGAAATCACCTTGAAAATTCATATTAGATAATAAAACCAATATGAAAACTGAAGAAAAACTTGCTCGATATTCCATCTATAAAATTCATGTTTGCAGTCTATGACAATTCGATGCAGATTTATTTGCTCTTCACAAGTCCAACGTCCTTATCCTTCGTGAGGACGTATTTTGTATATCCGCACTGTGGGCTCACGCAGAAGGTACACCTGTTGCAAACTCGAGCGTCAACTGCTCCACCTAACAACTGGTTTTTCACCATTTCAGCAAATCCATGGCTTAGAATTGAGGAGGTAGCAGACGGAGAAACGAAATCGACGCCCTAAAAATTCCTTCAGAGTACGCTTTAAGATAAGCACGTCAAGTGCAAAATATAAGACCAGATTCTAAATCTAATGATCAATATATCATCTTAATGCCCGTGTTTTTAAAGTGAACAGCACCTTACTTGGAAATATAATTTTATAAACTGAATCAGGTTGTATGATCAACAAAAAAAGATTCGAAATACTTTTATAACGCCTAACTAGAATACCTAGAAAAGAATTAGCTCCTATTAACAGTCACTTTTTATTGAGCGATGTTACTGCAGTATATAATTCTAATAGAAAATGTATACCTTGTTTACAAGCTTATTGGGCAATATTATTTCAGTGTCGAAACAGGGGATGATGGAAGTAACTGGGACAACCAAAGTTCGCTCCCTTTTATCTTTTCTGAGCAAACATATTTGCGAACTTATGGTCTCTGAACTGACTATCGGCCACTGATCCCAACTGCTATACCAAGCAACTCGCCAGAGGTGTGTGTTACCTAAGCTTTCCATAACACGTTCGCAACTAGACCAAACCTCTCGTTTATAGTCTCTTGAGCCATAGCCGTGCTACAAATCCGCCATATCAGAGAACGCTGATTGAAAAAAAAAAAAGAAAATAGAATCCAAATTTTTCTCAGTACATGGAGAACTTTACGACACTAGATGGAATTGAATGTCCAACTCCTAGGAACCTAAGATTTTCTTAAAGGGATAATTAGAAGCCTTTAAACCAAACCGTTTCACATGAATGACCAGAATTTTGCATCTTGCTATTGCAAGAAAAAGTTCATCGAATATAATTTTTGAAAAACGAAACAATTTGAGACTTAAAAAAACATACAAAGAGCGTCATAAAAAGTAGTACCTAACAAAGAAAAAGTTAGACAAATTATAAGTATTAAAAGGGTACATTGCAATCAACTGTAGGATCTTCGCCAACTTAAAGTGAGTAAATTTTACAGATCACACACGTTACAAGCACACAGTCCTCTAGCACTAAACCACCCTTTCACTATGTCGCTTGCTTCTTTTCTGAAGCAGTTAACAATTTACGATAGTCACTAACAAAGTCTCTCGGTTATATAGGACTGGTTTATTCCAGACTTCCTTCTCCTGGATAACACAAACTTAACCACGGGCCTAAAATCATGACGACAACGCAGAGCTTTTTTATACTCACGTTTTCCAAAAATATTGTAGCTTTACCAAATTATTTCAAAGGCTACTCTAACAGTTGCAAATTTCACAAACTCCATATCTAACTTCTCAATCTTCTCAAAAAAGAAATATTTAATAAGTCATCCAAACGCAGTAACATTATAGTGTAAAAATTAATGTGACTTTATTGACTGTTACAGCTCCAATATCTTGGTAAGGAACCGTTGGAGATGCATAACTCTTCAATCATACCTTAAAAAACTAATTATTGAGAAATTAAAGTTTTATTTACCTTACTGCCATACAGAGAGTGAATTCACTGTATTACAAGTTTTGTGCCATAAATAACTCTTGAGAAAACAATTTATTGAAAGAAAATGCTTGTAAGCAGCAAGGTTATGAACCTAAAATTTCTCAAAAACCATCACTGTTATACTGCTAACGCCTGTAAATACCTTATAAATACCTTTCAGAAGTGAAATGGCGTACCATCTGTGGAGCAACAAATAAAATGCTGTCGTGATCATTCATTTTGTCTTCAATTAATTGATGCCAATACTAAAAAGTCAGGTTTAAATTTTAATTTCAGCTAAGTAAGTAACAACTTTTAAACGCTTTTACAAAGCATTGCAAGCAATTTCAAAAAATGATTGAACGCTTACACTGATCAAAACAGGATGAGTATTCCATCGGTAGACTGCTGTCACTTTCAAAATATCATCAGAAACGCTACGTTCTACATTTTTCCATTTTGTTAAAAAGTTATCTACTATGCTAGCATCACCAAAAGCAGCACCAACAGCAGCATTCAGCATAGTTCCAGTTTGGAAACATGAGTAATGTGGATATAACGGAAGCAAAACCACTCGATTTATTCCTTCGCTGAAATAAACACTTTCATTTTCAAACTTAAGTTTCTAATTTTTCAAATTCAAATAAATCACTTCAAATCTGATAAAGCATACGTTTAAATATGATGAGAGAACTCAGTAAAAGCTTTTACAACGCTGTAATGAAAGATTCTCAGCAAAAACTCGAATAGTTACTTCACAAATTGTTTAATTTTTCTTGTTAAAACTGGCTGATCATATTGAAACGCAGATGAACACCGAATAAACCCAAATTCAGGAACAAGTTCTGCTAAAGCTTCTTTTAAAGAAGCCATCAAATTGTCGACATGAGTGTTGAGAAGTGGCAACTTTTCGTAATCGGCTATGCAAAAATGAACTTTCTGGAATAACGGCCAGAAGATATTGATAAGAGTCCTAAAATACAAGAATTCATAAGGAGAATCTATCGAGGTAATTAAGCTGCGAATGAAGCAAAGAGGCTTCATTTGTCTGGAATTTAAAGAGCAAGTCTAATGCCAAAGTAAAAATGTTAGACTTAAAGGAGAAACTCCCAGAGGTTGTGAAATAATTATCTCTCCCAACTTTCAAACTAGAATAAGGAACTTACGATGCGACTGGTAATGGAACCTTGTAGAAGTGACTAGCACGGGAGGCTAAAAACTGTTTCGCGTAATAAGGTGTTCGGGGCTGACCATGATGAAGGAGCAAAACAGCAGCTCGACAGTTTTGGATTTTCGGCTTATCGGTCACGTTTTCGGAAAAACATCGTGCATCAATGTGCAATACAGCAGGCACAGATGCAGACCGACTGCTCGAGCGAAATAGAGGGAAAACTGCTCCTCGCAAAAAAGGCCGAGTAAGCATTAGAATTACCTCAAAAAAAGCAAGTTTTAACGTTCAGCTTCATCAAACACAGTG